GTATAGATAGTATTTATTTACCTCATGATATGCTGCAAAACCTAATTAATCACGAATTTCTAATTTTATGTACTCTTGTCTCCGATTGTACCTCCCAAACATCCTTAAAGGATGTTAGAGCACATTATTTCAAAACCATAGTGATGAATAATAACTGAGTGCTTTATATTCAATTGAAATGCGTTTTTCATAACGACAGTGTTAGTACCCATTATCTTTTGTTAAAAAGCACACCAGGGTGGGATTAATACGTCGGCCATCTAGTAGGAGTTGTTGAAAAAGCATTTGCCTTTTCTTCGGATGCATCAGCATTTATTTCTGCAGAAACTCTCGTGCACCGCAAATGCGTACACAATGTTCCATTTTAATTTAGCCGATGGATGGTGCATTGCGTTATTTGTAGCTGTCGTTGTTGCAACTGTTTCGCATTTGTGTGTACGATAAATGTACATCTACGAACATGCAACGATACTAGAAGAAAACCATTCTATTTTTAGATTCTAAAACAGCGCCGGAGACACGGACGTTATTTGCAGAAATTGTCGATTTGACAGAAAAATCAAGTTTCATCTTTAATCCCACGGAACATCTTCAATAGTCTTTGTTTATAGAAAAGTAGTCCTTGTTGTGTTTTCTTTTATACACTATGTCTGATCAGTATTCCTGAATAGTATAAGTGTAACATGTTGAGGCACTGTAGAGTGTATCTTGTGATAGGGATGTAAAAGGTATGCACAAAAAGTACCCCAGTTAACGAGCCGTCGATTATTGAGAACAATTGCCAGCTTGCCAGCGCAAGCGTCAACGAACAAAACACGCATACCTATTCGTGACCTCCGCAACAGCTGATTGTACGTAATGATTACTAATAATCTGCAAAATTAACTTCTGTGTGATAATATCAAACAAAAACCAATGTATTCACATGCAATAGCATCGGCATCATTACCGGAGCAGTTAGGGCTTTCGTTCATCGTTATCATTACGGTTATGTTTATCTATATCACTGAGTGGGTGAAGATGGCTCATTCTTGTTTCATTTTAAGTACCTTTTATTTTTCCGGAGGACTGGTTAGACATAGCGTATATTGAACATTAATGAATTTGATTTATTTTCTTTGCCAACACTTTAAAATATAGCAAATATGTATTTTAAAACACTGCTTAATTTTAGTTTTCAAATTTTTTGTTAAAGTTATTTCACATTTTTACAGTCCTTGGTACAAATTAAATTGCGAAACGGTTCGCTGAAATTGATGACTGTTGCAATGTTTTCAACCCAATCTGAAATGGAAGGATTTTTGTTTTTATTGCGCAATTCATAATAAAGTATCCTACCCAAATTGCAATGGAAATAGGAAAACTGCACGCTACTGGTGGAATTATTAAAAGCATTCCTGCACTTGGCAACTGGAGATCTGCGAAGCGTGCCGAACGTTACATCTTTGTCGTTTTTTCACAATCTCGCTGATGTTAACACGACAAAAACCATTAACAGTAAGCTCTGACAGGAACAAGACGGCGCAGCTTGGAGCCAATTTCACTTCGAAGAGAGACCCACAAGTTTGTTTTTCAGCAAATAAAATAATCTGCTACAATCGGGGAAGGGTGTTCTAAATTAAAAGAGTTAGCTAATCTGTTCCTTTTTTGAGACTGTTATAGGTACAAATTGAAATCCTCACAGAAAAAGGATGAAATATAAAACCTATTAGAAATAAAAACGATTTGAATGCCACGCACATCTTCAATAGCACGTGCGATCAGGAAGTGATTTTTATGAGATTGAAGGGAGAGTTGATGGGATAAGTAGTTGGAAGTGGAATAGGAAGCAATGTCGTGCACAGTACATCTTGACTAATATAATATTGGAGCCAGACGAGTTTCCGTTCCCTTATTCCATCCAGGACTTCGAGGAGGCATTCAAGACGACGGACTCGACGGCAAACAGAAAAATCAATTCGGGATTCGCACCTCAGCTGTCGGATTTGGCTTATTGATGTCGGCTCGTTTGTCTCCAGACATAAAGGGATAGGTACGCATCCCATAATCAGTTTAAGAGCCGAAATTTCCTTCTTTGAATTGCTTCGACCTCTTACGTTTTCCCGATTGATTCCGTTCCACCTTGTCCCGAATTTAATGAATGACTGGGAAATTAAATTGAAGAATTATTGATACGCCTTTGGAAATCCTTTAGCGTTAACGAGAAGACTTTATTTATTGTTGTACATTTTTGTAAATACGTTACACACTTTTTAAACTGAAAACGTTATAAATATACAGTACATACTGATTAATTTCACTGTTAATAACCTGTAACTATAACATTTCACATTGTAATACCTACTGACGATGATACAATGTCAAAAGCATTTATTTGATATTAATCATGCATGAAGCATTGTTAGTAACTCATCTCTGACGGCGTGCTGATGAAAACTAGGTAACAACTTCGAAATGAAACATTTAATGGTTTCGATAATTTGCTGGCTTACTTATGTTGTTCATGGTTTCCTGCGAACCTAAGTAAGTATATAAACCAAGCAGAATAAGCAAATTATCCCATAGCTAAGAGCATGAAGGACATATAGTATAGTAAGTAAATAGTAGGTATTTATTTATTATACAAACGAAACCTTAGATATAAGAGAAAATGATGAAATGAATGTTGTTTAAAGAATAAAGCGCGCATTTTGCATTTTTAATGAAGAAATGAACTATGAAGTAATAATAATGAGCGATGAGGCTAATTTTCGTTTGATTGTGAGTGGTTCTGTTAACAACAGGGCAGAAGAAAAGTCCCGAGAACTATATCAACCCTTACTTCGTAATTAGAAAGTGGTCGTTTACCGTTTTTTTTTTTTTAAGATTCAAGACGCTTAACTGTATCTGTAACCTCTGAACGGTATGTTTTAATGTTAAAATTTTTTTTGATTCAAGAATTGACAATAAACGTTTGGCTCCAAAAGAATGATGACCAAGCACAAACAGAACAGAAGTTATCCGTTTTCTTTCATGATTTTCACCTTCTCGTTAATCTAAACGTTCATTTTTCGGAATAAGAACGATTGAGTTGTTGAACTCACATTATCACTAGGTTTTACCCGCGGATAAAATACGTGTCAAAGATCATCGACGACCACATAAAACTAATTTTTCTGTCTCTAGAAAACACTACTTATCTATTTTTTTTTCTTGGATAAAAAGTACCCTATATCCTTTCGTGTACCCCTAGCAATGTGTGTACCAGATTTCATGATGATCGTTTGAGTAGTTAAGGTGTGAAATGATATCAAACAAACAAACTTACATTTGCCTTTATAATATCAATTAGGATGAGTTAATGTCATTTCAAAAACGCCCTTCAATTCTTACCCAATTACTATAAAGTACCTTCTTTACCCTCTCGCGTGTGGGCGTAATAACCTGTTGTGGTACGTTACTCCTTTCAGTCCAAAATTCAGTAATATTTTAATATATTAGCGAAATTGAATTTATTTTGATAACTTACTTTGGCCGTCACAGAAAACGTTATTAAGCTGATCGTGTTAAGCTACGGTTGTCTTTAATCTCCGAGATGCAAATTTTATCCCAGGCGAGCAATGAATTATGATCAGACAAAACTGCCGCCACCTGAGGGAATTTTGTGTGGAATGAAAGTTATAACTCCCGAGAGTTAGTTGGAAACTGATAGAAGATATACGACGTATATTGAACCCCGTCAGACATTGTTTAATCAGCTCCGCGAGGTGTTTTATTCGAAATACGACTCGACAAACAGAATGAGCAATATTTACACGGACAAACACTATTAAAAGGTAAATAGTGTTTAGTTAATTTTGTTTCAATCCCGG